AATGATAGATTGGTCCCTTCAGCCAGCTGCCGCAACAAAATTGCGTTAGGTCTTCTAGCTCCTCCTTATCTAGTAAAGGAATTAACTCTAGAACTACTACTACTATAAATATCTTTAATATAAATTAGGCTTTCTTAGTAAATTAGTAACTTTTTAAGACCTCTTAGGTCTTTTAGGTAGTAATTTTAAACTACTACGTTCTATTTTTCCCTCCTAAAAATATATTTAGGTCCTAAATAGTAGTTATTAATAATAAAACTAGGCTACCTTTTTCTTAAGGGTCCTAGTTTATTACTATATAAGTCCTTATAAATATTTAACTAGTACTATAGTTATTAGTTATAATTATTAGTACTTTATATACTTTATAGGTTAGTATTTTTATCTTATTTATAGCTTCTAAAAGTAAAGCTATTTACTTAGCTTACTTTAGTAGGTATTTCTTAATAAATTTATAAGATATTAAGTTACACTTTACACTAAAGTTAAGGTTAGTAAATATTTCTACTATATGTCTTCTACTTTTTACTTATATTTTAATATAAAAATAAAGTATTATCCCTACTTTAGAGAGGAGTAAAGACATAAGGTCTACTTTACCCCTCTGCCTTTTCCCTCCTTCTTTCTTACTATAGGTAAAACTATAGCTGCCTAGGCTTTAGTCTTACTATTAGTAAAAAGGTTCCTTAGTTTTTTTAGTTCTAAGTAGTTTAAAAAAATATACCCCTTCTAGTTATAATTATAATAAGTAATATCTTACTTATCTTAATTAAACTTAAATTACTTTAGAGTTAGACTAGTGTCTATTAAATCTATATTATATTAGCGTTTTAGTGCTATTTTCCTCTTATTTCTCTTACTAAAAGTACTAGATTTATTTTTATAAAGCGTTCCTTAAACTTATTAGGCTATATTTACTATTTCTACTTAGGTCTTTAGTAACTTAAGTATATTTTATCTAATTACTTCTTAGAAACTACTAGTAAGTTAATAGAAATATTTAAAACTACACTTTTTTTCTAGCTTTATTATAAATTCTTTTTCTAGAGAATTAAAATAAGTATAAAATTACTTTAAGTCTTAATTTTCTTTTTATTAAGCTAATATAATTAATTTTATAATATTTAGTTTTTAATAGACTATATTTTATAATAGTGTTTTAGTCTACTTTAGGAAATAATTATAGTCTTTTACTAAAGGTTATTCCTTATTTATAAGTAAGTTAAGATAATAATCCTAATAAACCTTATAATTATTATCTATATAAGCCTAAGCTAATAAGATATATTTATATAGCTTTTAGAACTTCTTAGGTGTAGCCTAAATAGCTGCCTTTAAGTTATTAACCTATACCTTCTAGGCGTATAGGCTTAAATATAAGTAAAGCTTTTAGATTTCCTTATAGTTAAAGTCTTAGTTAAAACTTAACTAGGACTTACTAAAGCTTTATTAATAACGCTATTTCTCTCCCCTACTAGCTTATTCCTAGTTTATACGTTCTAGTTCTATAATCCTCTGCTTTAAGGCCTTATATTAGGCTTAGTCTAATTATAGTAACGTATCTACTACCTATCCTTTAGGAATTAGTATCTATTCCCCTTCTTATTTAGCTATAGTAGTGCTTCTTAACCTATAAAAAAGAAGATTTAGAATTATAATAGACTATTAAAATTATAAAGAAGTATTAGTAATTATAGGTCTTATATTATATAGAAGCTAAATCTTAAAGAACTATTCTCTTATAATTTGTAAGGCTATTACTAGCTAAATACGCCTTACTCCCTAAAACACTATACTAACCTTAAGATAGTTAGGCAGCTGTTGCCACCTAGTCTTAGATAGCGCCCTTTAGTTAAGTAGTTATTATCCTATAACACTAATTCTCTATAGGCTAGTTTATTAGCTTTACTATATAATAGTATATTTTACACTACTAGCTTATAAAGTAAGCCTTAAAGCTACTTACTAAGTACCTTATTATTATTACTAACTTCTTTTACTTTAACTAACAGGTTAGTTAGCCTTTATTAGCCTACTAGCCTATTAGTGGCCTCTAATTTCCCTCTAACTGTATTGTTAACTTTAATAAGACCTTTATACCCTTTAAGTATCTTAATAGGTTAACTTAGGCAGCCTAAGGGGCCTAATCTATAGCTAGTAAGACTAACTATAGTGGCTAGAGTAAGTAGTAAGCTACCTTAATCCTTTATATCTTTACTAATAGGATTTAATAGCTACTACCTAAGTTAATTTTTTATAGCTAGCCTAGTAGCTACCTTATAGTATATAAGGGTAACTTATATAGTAATAAGGTAATAGTTAAGTATAATAATATAGCCTATAATAATAAATATCTCCTTAGGTAGTAGCTAACTTATGAACTTTTCCCTTTTATAGTAGGGTAAGAGTATCTATTAGTTATAGATATTACTACTTTTTATAAGACCCCTATAATACTATTATAACTTTACTTTTATTACGTTATACTAAGCCTTATACTGCTTAGTATAACCTCTCTCTTTTAACCTCTAAATACTACTATTAATAAGCCTTTTAAGTAGTAGTTATTTAAAGTAATATATAAGTATATATAGTAAAAGGAGTAAGCAGCCTACTAGCCTAGTAAGCCCCTTTAGCTAATTTAACTTATTAAGTAGTCTATATTAATAAAACGTATTATAGTTACTTATACTATTATAATAGCTACTTATTACCTATCTAAAAGGGGTAATATAGTCTAGTAATCCTTTCTTTAGTATAGGATTAGTATAAATCTAGATAGGAGTAATATTAATAAGATTTAGATTAAAGACATACTAAATAAGAAGATATTATAAGATAGTTAGGATAACTTTAACTATAAAGCCTATATAAAGAAGGAAATAAAAGAAATTAATAAGAAAAAGATAACTAACGTTAATATAAATAATAACTACTAAGAGTATATATCTCTAGCTAAAGACGTCTAGTAAGCTATTAGAGGCAGTTTAATAAGGCCATAGGAAATATAGCAAGGTGTAGAAGAATAAGAGGAAATCTAATACTAATTTAAAGTTTGTTTGCTAGCCCTTGCCACCTAATTTGCTTCTAACGTACATAACTAACCCCTGCTTTTGCTACATCTAGGCCCCTGCTTCTGCTAGCACACTATACCTATTACAGCGGCCGCAATACCCCTTGCCGTTAGCTCGTGCAGTAGCTAAAGGCGGATTTAACCAGTGTAGACGGTACTAATACTACTTATCCATTCACCGTCTCAGCTTTCTTCCCCGCAAAGTATCCGTAGTTGTTGGCAAGATACCCAAGTACCTACGGTAGCCCACGTGAACTCGGATGGACAGACAAATCATCCCTCTGCTCTACACCTACATCTTCTTTTACATCCACCGATTTCAGTTGACACCTTTGGCCTTCCCTCTCTACATCAGCAGGCTTTCTGAGTGCTTCTCCTGGTTCCACATCCCCCCCCCCCCCCCCCTTCGTCAATCTGGCATGTCCGGACATTCGTTCCGCCAAGTGCGCTTACACTTACCCTCCAACTTCCCCCACCAGTCACCAAGGAGAAGTGCCGTGGGTTCCAATGCCGAACGCTGTCTCAAAAAGACAACAAAAGCAGTCCAGTCTAGTGCAAGGACCCTGCGACTGGTAATGTGAATGTTGCTTTATTGTTGTTTCGTGTCTCCTACCGTCGGTTCACTTTACAAGCCTTCGACTTCGCTCCGTCTAGACGTGTTTGCCCGTGAACCGTAGTATCTCTGCGGCCATTTCCCTTCGTAGTACATCCACCTTGTCGTTCTCTTTCTTGTAGATACCCCCCCAAAAAACCACCTCAGTCAAGATGCCCCCCGTAACAGTTGGCGATATGGACCTCCCCATTGAGCCCGTCTATCCGCTTCCAAAGGCCAAAGGCCCCCTCGCATCCTCCATCACAACACCCCAACTCTTCTCCCTCGCCAACAAGACCATTGTTGTTACCGGCGGCGGCCGCGGCCTCGGCATCACCTTCGCGCTCGCCATCCTCGAAGCCGGAGGCCACGCCGCCTGTCTCGATATCCTCTCCGAGCCTTCACCCGTCGAGTGGGCTCACCTTAACAAGCTCGCCACGGCCAACGGCCTGTCCATCACATACCACAAGTGCGACATCACCGATGAGCTCGCCACTCAGCACGTCTTCGAGGAGATCGCCGACGACGCAGACAAGCGCGGCGCCCCCTTCTGGGGCGCCATCGCCTGCGCCGGCATCCAGCAAAAGATCCCCGCCCTTGACTACCCCGTCACCGATTTTGAGCGGATACAAAAGGTCAACGTCGTCGGTGTCTTCGTGACGGCCAAGCACGCCGCCCGCATCCTCGTCAACCGCAAGAGCAAGGGCAGTATTCTGCTCATCTCGAGCATGTCGGGCGAGATCGCCAATCGAGTAAGCTTTTGACTTTCTTGCTTCTTCTTCTTCTTCTTCTTCTTCTCCTCCTCCTCCTCCTCCTCCTCCTCTTGCTTCACCGCACTTTCGCGGGGGGGTATGTGGACCTGTCGAGTCGAGTGTTGCTCTAATCACCCTTGGCAGGGATTGACATGCAGCGCCTACAACACAAGCAAAGCAGCTGTTCAGCAGATGTGCCGATCTCTCGCCCAGGAATGGGGCCAATACGGCATCCGTGTCAACACCTTATCCCCTGGTGTAAGTGGCATCTTCTTCGTGTTTCCCGTTTTGTGACTAACACAACAACCCCAGTACATCAGAACCGCCATGACCGACCAACTCCTGCAAGCCGAGCCCGATGTCGAGAAGACGTGGATGAGAGGAGCCTTGCTGCAGCGCCTAGGTACACCCGAGGATTTCAAGGCCCCGGCCGTTTTCCTCTTGTCCGAGGGAAGCTCCTTCATGACCGGTGCAGACCTACGCGTCGACGGTGGACACTGTGCCTCCGCTTAATTGACTTTTTCCCAGATGACATTGATGGCTTCAGCCGCCGTTTAGTCTTGCGCATGGACTTGGCAGTACAAGGCTCAACGGCACAGGGAGGTAACCTGTCAAATAGACGTACCCTGTTGTGTGGTAACGCAGGCATAGACTTGTGCATAGAGTCGTTGTTACCAATAGCATATCAAATAATATCAAAGACTTTGAAGCTTAAAAATACAACCCTTGCGGCTTCCCACACGGTGGCTGAGATCGACTGTGAGTCATATTACCTCGTTCCAGCCTCAACCCCCGTGTGAGCCACGAGATATCCATCCCCTGATCGTGCCTTGGCTTCGTAAATTAGCTAGGCTCACGTAGATGGGCAGATGGCTTGGTTCCTCTGCGCATGTTTCTCACACAGGGAAGGAAATGAGTGTTTTGGTCCCATCAATGGAAGTTGTATTGATTAACGCCTTGTCGGTTCGCCGATAAAATATTTGGACTGAAGGGCCCCTGCCCACGTCACTCAAACTCCTTACGATGCATCATGGTCCTCCACTGCATCGCCGCCCCATTGCTTTTCCAACAGAGTATTTGTACCGAAGGCTTTTTCCCATATCATTAATCATTATTCAGATGCAACATGTTCCTCCGTTGCATCGCCGTTGCCCTTTCCATCAAAAACCACGATGAGGGTCCACCCTCAAAGTACCCATGGCGAATAACGTCCCCAAGACAATCCAGAATGATGCAGGTATTAATCCTTGAGACGCGTTGATGCCTCTGAACGCCTCACTTCTTGCACAAGAGTCGTCCCTTCTCGTTGACCCAGAACGAGTCCTTGGGCTCTTTGGCACTCCGGCCATCGGTGCCCAGGAAAATCTTGGCCTTGACAGTTGTCTTGTCGTCCTTCGCACATTCGCAGCTCAGGTAAGGACCCGCGGTCTGGCCCTGCTCCGGCTTGTCGACCTGTTCGAGCCTGCACTTACTGCAGTGGTCGCGGATCTTCTTGCTGTTGAGGTTGTTCCAGCTCAGCTGACCCTTGGCGGGATCAAAGACGACGCACTCGTCCACGTTTACGAATGTCGGCTCGGCGTAGTTGTCGTTCTTGTCTTTGCAGCATGTCTCGAAGAAGAAGCTGCCTTTGTGCGGGCCATATTTGACCTTGTAGGTGCGTGACTGAAGGCAATGCCCGCCGAGGATGTCGACCCACGGGCGAGCGCGTCTAGGGTAAGTCTCAAGGCGCTTGATGCAAAGCCCCGGGTCCTTCGATTCTCGGATGGGGCGGACAGGGGGGGGTCCTCGGGAAGCGAGGGCTGCCACGGCCATGGCGAGGAGAATGAGAAGCTGGAAGCGCATTTTGGTGGCTTCTGTTGTTTTTATGCGTCAATGGATTTGAATAGTGTGTGAAGTGTAGTGGAAGTGCAGTATGTGAAGTGTGTAATGGAAGTGCAGTGTGAGATGTGTTATTGAAGAAGGGAAGAAAAAACAACAGGAGCCAAGCTGGGAGATTTCCTACTTATAGGTAGGAGACCTTGATGTTTCGGAGAAAGGAATTCTGACCATCGCTTCTTACTATGGCTCGTGGATACGCAGTACAACGTTGAGTTATAGCATATTCTGGTTCGCAACTCCATTTGTGAGTCAAACATACCTGGATAGCTAACTTACAGCCTTATGGTTTAAGCTTAATGTTTTTGATCCACAAAAAGCCCTTTATCAGCCCTAGGGGGGGCAATTGGTTAATATTACCTTGAAGGCTTCCAACCTTTTTGATGCAATAGCATCCCGGTCACTGGTGATGCCCTCGTACGACGATTTTCAGGCTGTCAGTAAGGCCTCAATGGGATTTGACACTTACTTCCAATGATATCAACGTTTGGTAGCTGGCTCCAGTCATTTTATGAGTCAACCGTTTGAATATTCTATCTCCCAGCAGTGTTTACACCCGACTTGAGACTCGGGCTAAACGGTATTTATTTCTGAACTCTTGTTGGGAATGTGTGTTAAACGCCCTGTTCACAAGTGTCCTCGGCAATCGCCATACAATAGTGATTTCGGTTCTTGCCAAGAGACTCCAAGTGGCTAAGCAGCCTAGAAGTCGACAAGACGAGTGAAGCTTTGCGGCATCAGCAAAATAACAGATCCCCTTCCTTTGCTAAACCTCCACGCTCTTCCCTCCGAAGTTCATCCTCCACATAGTCTCGCACGGAAACATCAAGGCACTGATAGCGTATAGGATATAAGGGAACTCCAGAAGAGCAGTGCGCAGCGCAACCACCAATAACCTAGAAGCAATATTAAAATATGCCTCATTTGGCCGGCCTAATGTTACCACTAGTCAGAGGAATGACTTTAATTAGGGTAAATCTTAAGCAACTGACAAGTGATCGAAAGCCCCTAATCTTCTTATATTGCCATTCTCAGGCTTTAAATAGTCATAAAATGCTCTGTAGTAGTTCGATTAAAGTGAAAGAACCGGGTGAGACTGAGTTATTCCTTTCCACCATGATATCTTTATCCAATCTAAACATCTCCCCCCTTACATGTACTTCCCTGATCCAAGTTAGCGTACCAAGCCCGCAAAAGCAAAATGAAAACGCAAGCTCGCTCACCTAGCAAATGTTGATCACTAAAGTGCGTTGCCAAGGCGATCTCTCTCGAGGTCGCACAGTACGCAATGATACAATGATAATACTTTAACACAGTCGGGAAAACACAGCATAAGTATCATGCCCAATACTCAGCACAATAGAAGGTTTCTAGGTAAAAACACAGTATCATGGAATCTTGCAACTAAACCTCCCAGCTGCGTCTGATCACCTAGGTAGTCCAGTATTACTATTTGATGAAGAGGGGTTTGAACAGAGTGATGGATCACCGGGGAAAACGGATCTTCGGCTAGGGGACTGAAGGCTAGCGACGCATGTGGAATCCATGTAACTGTTGGCTAGTGTTATCCGGCGACCACGGTGGGAAAATCCCATCAATCAATCGCTGGCATAGAGCCCAAGGCACATCTGACCCATGAAAGAGAATGCAGGCTAGCTCCACAATCCCCAAATTCCCCTCAACTGGGATCGCTCGTCCCCATCTTCCCCAACTTCCCGCCTCACCACGATGGGTTTAAGATTGGTCCTCTACCGTAAGGCCCTGGTAGAACCTATGCAGTGGTATGTTTTCTACGTGGGGAGGCTGATATGGAGGCTGAATAGAAACGAGACGATGGCGTGATTGGTGGAATGGGCCATGCTGTTTCTCCTTTCCGCAGTGCATCCTAGTCATTTCTATATACCTACACATGCGGAGCAAGCCTAGCTCGATATTGCCCCAGCTAATTTCTTACTCCTCCGCCATGTATCTCTGGCTGTATTGAAAAGTTGAGCACTTTTGAGAGAACATGCTGTCGGCCATTGACGGTAGCCCAGAGTTGGAGAGAGGGGGGAGGTGACATAGGCTTTGTCTTGGCGGTGCAGGTCCATTGCCAAGCGGTGTAAGTATATGAGGAGGCTCGCTCTCCAGGATTCAAGACGAAAAGGCAAACCACATCTCCCAAGAGGGCTGTACTTTTGGCTACCTACCCACTTGCCAATCTTGCAGACGCGCGTGTTTCCTTCACGCCCAAGTTACATACGCAGCCATGAGAGTTTTATCCCTTCTTGTCAATCTGGCAGTTGCCGGCAGCGCACTCGCCTTCTCGGCTGAGATTCCGGCCGGTGTCCCGCGCAACGTCGCCGAGTTCCGTGAGAAGCATCCATACGAGAAGCGCGGTCTGGACTGCCATCGCAAGACCGTCACACCCCGCGCCTCTGAAAACGATCTCGATGATGTCTCCGATGAGTTTCTCGAGGGTCTGAAGCAGATAAACAACGGCGGTACTCTGTACCTCCCCGCCAACAAGACCTTCATCATTGGCAAGCCTCTTGACCTTACCTGGCTCAACGATGTACACGTCCACTGGGAGGGCGAGATCAAGTTCACCAACGACACACCGTATTGGCAAGCCAACGCCTTCCATCATCCCTTCCAGAACTCCATCATGTTTTGGAAGTGGGGAGGCAAGGACGTCAAGTTGTATGGGGAGGGTGTGCTTAACGGCAACGGTCAGCGATGGTGGAACGAATTTTCTGGCCTCGAGTAAGTCGTGTATTGGACCTCGGCCACTGACAACATCACTAACAATACCAAGGATTTTGGATCCGACAAACGCTTACCTCCGTCCTGTTCTTTTCTACGCCGAGAACGCGACAGGTCTTTCAATTGAGGGCATTCACTTCAAGGACTCCCCGTGCTGGACTACCTTTATCGTCACTTGTAAGCTACGCAATGGCTTCAAACTTCTTCCCAGCACCGCTAACGTAATCCTCAGCCAAGGACATCTCCTTTACTGATGTCATCGTCACTGCCGAGACCAACAACCATACTGCTGAGCCAAAGAATACCGATTTCTTCGATTCGCTCAACGTCGAAGACGTTCGCGTCAAGCGCGCCTGGGTGAACATTGGCGACGACTGCTTCTCGCCCAAGTCCAACGCGACGAATGTCCACGTCGACACCATGTATTGCAACGGCACCCACGGCCAATCTATCGGGTCCTTGGGACAGTACGCTGGCGAGAAGAGTTTCGTGCAGGATGTCGTCATAGAAAACGTGTGGATGCTCAACGGTCAGCATGGCGCTCGCCTCAAGACTTGGGCTGGTCCTAACGTTGGCTATGGATTCATCGACAACGTCACTTTCCGGAACTTCTGGCAGGCCAATAACGAGTATACGGCATTTATTGATTCATGCTACTTCAACGTCAACTCGTCTACCTGCGCGGCGTATCCCTCGCAGATGAACATTAGCAACATCCTTTTTGAGAACTTTTCGGGATACACCAGCGGCAAGTACGGTCGAGCCGTCGCCAAGTTGACGTGCTCGACCAACCCCAGCGCCGTCTGCAACAACATCCAGTTCAAGAACTTCAACATTACCACCCCTTGTGGCGGTGACCCTGTCATTCTCTGCGACGGTGTAAAGGGTGACATCGGCACACCATGCATATCATCCAATAGCTCTGAGGCCAAAGCCGCGCTGGCGGCAACGTGCACTACACCTTTGGCAGTGGCTACGCCTTGGAAGGTCAGACCATTCGAGTAGGCATAGGGTACTATGATGTAAGGTTATTTCCGAAACCAAAGACTTGGCTCCGCAGGCTCCTCTATCTACATCTCAGTAAAGGATCAATGTATAGGAGATGAAAGTCAATGTTTACATTCTTGTAAATAATTTTGAGTCCAGAAACGCGTGTATAGTCTTGAGTGTTTTCCACGGGGCCATGACTTGTCCAAGTGGCACAATATCATGATTTGACCCTGTTCACAAGAAAGCAGCGACGCCAATGAACCCAGCGGCAACAATCGCAGCAGCCATCATACCCGTCTCACGCGGCCCGGCATTCGGGGTGACTTGCGAAGGGCTGTTTTGGGTCCCGGTGGCATTGCTACCTGCGGCAGTACCAGTTCCGGACCCAGGTGAGTCACCACCCTCAGTGGCCTTGGGAGATGAAGAACCAGAGGCGGTAGCACCGCTTCGGGCACTACCTGCTGTGGCCGAGCAGACAGGGATGGAGGCAGAAATGCCGGTGATTGTAGAGCACACGGACAAGGCAGACTGAATGGAAGCCGAGTTGGCGTCGACCCAGCTGAGGACCTCCGAGGTGTAGCTGGCGTATTCGGCGCTGAGCTCAGCAGGCACAGTGATACTACAAGGGTCGGTCTGATGAGGGGCGGTCATCTCGTAGGAGACAATCTTAGGAGGGGGAGTGGGCGCGTTGGCGTAGACTGTGTTGAGGACGTTGAGGCACGGGTCGGCAGCGATGTCGGTTTGACGGGGGAGTACCTCACGGCGGATGCGCTCTGGTCTGACATCAAAGACGGCAGTGGCCGAGCCAGCGAGAGCGGCGACAAGGGCGGTCTTGGAATACATTGTGGGACGAAGGACGAGAATAAAGATGGTAAGGACTGTGATGTTGGCAGTAAATAGAGCGTGAGGACTCGATATCGTCTTGGATACTGATTTACAGCTGGGAAGATGAAGGAGCATGGGGTGTTGGGAAGCGCGGTATTTGGCTCTTTAAGTACCACTGAGGTTGAAAATTGCCCCTAACTCCTGTTTCGAAGCTTAATTTCAAGCATGAAAATTGGGATTTCTGGCTGAACCCCGCCGCCGCCGCCCAACTCCGCGCTTCACCTAGTGCTCAGCTAGGCTTCTCAGGATCATAAGTGTTGCCAAGATTTAAACGCCTTGTAGGTGACAGTGTCAGTGCGGTGAATAGCTGCGGACGAAGAAGGAGCGCCGGTCACAATCCAGGGGGTCGAAAGATCTTCCGGTTAGGCTGAAGCTCCCCCTATCTGTGTTTCTGATACTAGTTTTAATTACTAAACACGATGATAAACGTCTAGTCTAATGAAACAACCTGCTCTTACCCCCTGTCTCTCCATCCGATTATCAGGTGTCTGTTGTAGTCTGTAAACAGCCCACCAAAGATGACGAAGCACCTAGAGATGCTTATGAGCTAGGATGTAAACAGTCAAGTGTAGATGCAACAAGACAGCAAAGGCGTGCGAACCTCGGTTTTTGTTTCATGTCACTTGCATACTGCATGCATAGGTATCTTTTCTAAAATACCTACCTAAGTATACTTCTTCCTAGCCCTAGGGGGATGCAACAAAGTAGAACGAGTGCAGACCGGCCTAATACTAAACCTATTTGAGTTCCCACTTAGAAATAACAAGCCACTTTTGTACCCATTGGTTTGACTGACTTCACAGCAATTGTCATGAATCACAAGCACTACACATCGCATGAGCCACAAGTTCACATCATGTAACCTGCATCAGAAGTATTTCAACTTGATCTTCGCTTAGAATGCATCTTAGGTTGTATCTATCAATAACCCTTTCATCAGCAAGTTGTTGCACGGCACCATGAACGTCCAAGACCCTTGTTGTCTACAGGGACAGCAAAGATATCTACCATGCAATCGGCAAGGCCCGTGGCTCCCAATTATCGAATCTCAGTATAAACCAGCTTACCACTAAGGTTTTGATCCCCGTCGCTGCTTACAGCCCTCTCTTCGTACCAACCTCCACACAAGCGCCCAAACCGCTGCCATCGAATACATATATCAAGAAGCCAAGTCTCCTCTCTTATGATCGCATTCATCACAGCCCTCAAAAGAACAACATCGCGTACAACGTTCTCGCTGAGGGTTAAGTCTGCGAACTACTAAAGCAAAATTCACATCCCAACATCGCGAGATACCTGGGTTGCCAAGTCTTTGACGGCAGAATTGTCGGTATCTGCTTCGCAAAATACGAAAAGACACTGATAGAAGCAGTCAATCCGCATGGCTTCATGAAAAGGAAGTTCAGTACAACTCGCCAAGGTGTCGGTAACCACGGCCGACAACTGGATGACATTGAAGACGGCATAAAGCATCTACATTCACTCGGACTTGTTCATAACGACTTAAACCCCAGCAATATTTTGATTAACGGATGTACATGGGTTATCATCGACTTTGGTTCGTGCCGCTACAAGGGAGAAAGATTGGATAGCGTTGGTCGTACTTACGAATGCTTCGACGAAGCGGTGCACAGCTCTCGGCCCCAAAATGACCTGGATGCGCTGCGTGAGATCCGAAATTGGCTGGAAGGGGTCCCCCCGATTCATTCCAATTCAAAGAGTAACATTGGATAAGATACTAAACAGTGACGAGTCTGCCATAATTGGTCCCGAAAATACTACAGTATTCTAACTTCCCAACTACTTGTTTGCCTCCAGATGTTTCTCTGTATATAGTGAGGTAATGCGAGCAATGAATGAAACACCACGTAATATGAAACACGAGGCGGCTACTGTGAAGTCCTAGTAATGTGTGGAGCTATCGTGATAGATTACTCTTGAAGCCCAACAACACCAACCTTGAGGTAATGATCATTATCCCGGATCTTTTTCCCTATGTCGCCCGTCTTCAACTCCTCGACGTCCCACTTCGACCAGACGAAGCGGCCATGCAGAAAGCGCGCTTCCTCGGACGCGGCCCAGACGGCATAGTTTCCAGACAGAGAAACTGCAGGCGAAGATAATTAGTCAATGATGCCCCCAGGCCATGCTGTTTTATGAAAAGGCTCACCGTCATCAAACGGAAGACGATCTTCTGGGACTCCAGCGTCGATGAAGGGGGAGGTTCGAACCAACCCCGGATGGAAGTTGATGATTTGCATGTTCTCGGGCGGCGTGTCTTTGGCGATCATCTGGATCAGGAGCGTTCCGGCGTTCTTACTGGCGCTGTAAGCAGGCCAAGGGCCTGATTTCTGAAAGTTATGGATGGCCTCGGTCGATATGTTGACAAGAAACTGGAAAGAGAGTGTTAGTCAATCGGTTGCGTTGCACTGTTTTCTATAGAGACATGGTGAAACGTACCTTTTGACGACCCTCGCCATTCTTCTGATTGTAGAACCTCTCCGAGAGGTCCAAGAGCGAGCGGACGTTCATGGTAAAGGAGTCCCAGACATAGTCCCTCCCCAAAGCCAGAATGGAACCATCATTGGCTATCTTGGCGGCGTTAAGCACCAGGACATCGATGACGGTCCCGTCCTCCTCGAAGCCCTTCCACAGCTTCTCGTTGTCTCCGAGGTCGTTCACATCGCTCGGGAACCCACTGAACTGAACGCCCTGGTACTCTTTCTCGAGTTTGGAGACGGCCTCATCAACAAGGTTTTGGCGACGGCCAAGGATGATGACGCGCTTCGCTCCAGCCTGTGCAAAGCTCTGGGCAATGGCGAAGCCGATACCCGCGGAGCCACCAGTGATGAGGATTGTGCGCCCCTTCTGAGAGAGCTCCGAACGGGAAGGCAAGATGGCTGAGTAAGGCTTTCTGTGGATCGTTTTGGTGAAGTTCATCCCAGTTTGGAAGGGGGAGCTGGAGTTTGCGACGGATGAGAATGGGTCCATTGTGAGTTCTTGGCTGGTGGGACGTTTTAGGATTCAACCACTTGCTTCGTTAACAAGATGTCAATTGGGATCGATGGTCTAGTGTTGAGAGTAAAGGATAAGGTACTGATGTTGGATTTTGAAATTGTAGAATGCCCACGGAGACAACTATCCTTTTTATATCCTTTCTTCGTGGCTAGGCTTTGGCAGTCATTCGTGATTATCGTCTCGGCCCCGCAGAGTGGTGCCACGCTAGATTCTCAACAAAGGCCCAGTGTTTGTCATGATACGGGATGATCCATCCGAGATGATGGTCTGGCTCCGGCTGGTAAGTCATCATGTTGCGGCTACGGCTCCCGCTGATTTCCCGCAATTCTTCCGCAAGTCTTCCGCCCGAAACCCGCAAAACCCGCAAAACCCGCACCGGCGCTTGTGGGGGCCCGGCTGCTTATGCTGACACCGCATCCGACAGCGTGCGCTCGCGTGTCTGACGGCTGACAAATATGCCCATCATTCCCGCAATGCATTTGATTATTTCTTAGTCGCGGAGACAGGTCTTGATGACAAACCGCTGCGAGTATCCCAAAACGCTACTCGTCCAGGTCCTCGGCCGTGCATGCAGGCTTCACTTATTGTTACAGTATTCGATACCCTCATCGACCGATTTTAGAAAAAAAAAAAAGGGGAAGAATGGCTAGGATTACCAAGCAGAAGGCTTGTATAGCCTGTACAGAATCAAAACGCCGCTGCGACAAGGGAGCGCCCTCATGCAGCCGCTGCGATGACAGGGACATAGACTGCCGATACCCTGCAACACAGAGGCGGCGGCATCTTCAACGTCAGGGGCCGTTCCCCGATCCTCCAGCACAACAGCCCGACCTGAACATGATGGCGGACACGTTGATAATCGATGCCGCAAGTCTTGCGACTGGTGCCTGGAGCATGCCGTGGACGGGCCTGGATTTTGCACCGAGCCCCCAAGCCGCCTCGGGATTCGCCGCACCACAACTCCTACCCGCTAGAAGCCCGCCACAGCCCACGACTCAGACTCACATCCCACAGCACGCCAAGAAACCAGTCGCGTCTTCGCTCGCCGAGAGCAAGTGGTTCCTCGCTCCTTCGACATGGCGCATCGATCACTGTCCCACCCCGCCCCAGGACAGCTACCCTGTCGCCGTGATGACCAACTTCAACCGAGGCCAGCAAGCCTGGGTCCGGCGCTGGGTCATGGAAGGCCACAACCCCTTCATCCACCGCAGCCTGTACGTCGACAGCGGCCACTTCTCCACCTGCATCCAGGACGCCTTCACCGCGGCCTCGGCGTACTACGCCAAGACGCCCCAGAACGAAACGTTCGTCTACCGCATCCTCGACGAGCGCGCCGCGGCCCTCGTGGCCAGCCAGCCTGCTGTCAGCCTCGATGGCACGCCCTCCGCCACGATGCTTGAGACGAAAGACCATCTGGCCCGCGTCCACGCGTTGTACGTGTACACCGTCATCCGCCTGTACGACGGCTCTGTGAGCCAGCGCGCCGCCGCCGAGGACCTTTTACCCACTCTGGACCTATGGTGCAAACAGCTCTGGGAGTCCGCCCTCGCGGACGTGGACTCTATTTCGCAGGCCCGGATGCCCCGGTCCTCCGAGTTCTACTCGAATAACTCCAGCCTCTCAGCCTCCCAGGAAGTCGCCACCTCGGCAGCAGCTGTGGCGGCGGCGGCGGCAACAGAGGACAGCAGTGATCAGCACGCGCGTCAAGATACGTTCGAAACGGACCTCATGGCCTGGAAACTCTGGGTTCTCTCCGAATCCATCCGCCGTACATGGATCATCGTATCGTGTGCCATCGGAGTCTACTACGCCCTCAAGGGCCGCTGGGGCGAGTGCGCCGGCTTCGCTCAGTTCACCGCTCGAGCCGGGCTGTGGGACGCGACGTCGGCGCCCCAATGGGCGGCCATGCGTCGCAAGGACTTGGCCCGGAAAGACGGCGGGGAGCCAGACTTTTTTATACCTTCGGTACACGCGGAAAGCCTCTTGCGGGAGATGGCGGCGGCAGAGGTGGATGAGTTCACGAGGCATCTTTTGACCAGCTTATGGGGAATTGACAGAGTCGAGGACTGGGCTTTGAGGACGTCTTCGAAGGGCAAGGTCAGCTTGATCTATTGAACAAATAAAGTAGCCCGGGCAGTCAGCCATCCAAGGAAGCACAGCTGTGTAACTTTGTATGGACTCTAGAGGTACTCACTCTTCTATCAGCGAAGTCAGCAGTCTTGTCCAGATTAGATGCACAGCAATGCTCACGTTAGACAAGACTAGTCTGACTCGCCTCGATGACACTCGAGTTAATGGCCGAGCACAGGCTTTTCGAAAAGAATTTATCAGACCGCAATGTGTAGGGCCAGGGTATCTCCGGATTTCATCACAGCAGCAGCAGCAGCAGCAGCAGCAATGACGTACGAAAAAAAGCAGCTTCCATTTATTTTCAAGGCATGATCATTACCGTCAACGCCCGTCGAGGCAGGACCAAAACTTCGACATCTAGGCCTTTTGCGATCCCCGCACTATCCCTTATCAAGTTGCGTTTTGAGACGCCGAGCACACGGCTTCCTACTCCTCATCCTCTTCCGCCTCGGCCTCTTCCTCGTGGACTTCCTCCTCGGCCTCGTCCGCTTCTTCCTCTGCGACCTCGGGTGATTCTGTGCCGTTGACCTTCTTGACCTCGATCGCCTCAGGCGCCGTGCCGCCCTGCTTCTCGAGCTGCAGCCACTCGTCCCACTCGGGGAACAGCTCCTCGTCCTCTACTGGGACACCGACCATCTTAGCGACGCGGCCCTTCTTGTTTTTCTCGAGGTTATCCTTCCATTCCTTGACGACGTCTGCCGTCAAGCTAGGCTTATATGTTTGCGAGAAGAGAACGGCCTCGGCCAAGCGACCAGTCTTGATAAGGATCTCGATACAGCCAGCAACGTCGCCCAGAAGCCACTTGCAGCTGAATGCGACGTTGTGGGCACCGGCCTCTTGCGCTTGCTCGGCAAGTCTTGAAAGCCCGCTGCGGTCCGACGTGGATGAGTAAAGAAGGAGCAGGGATCCAAGATCCTTTGCGTTTGTAAAACACTCCTGTGCCACGGCCACTTGCCACCCGGCAAGCGCAGCGTCACCGACAGTCTTCCACTTGTGCTCGACGTCTGCTTCTCTAGCCAGATCAAGAGCGGTGTCCAGTTGGCCCAGTGCGAGAGCCAGCTCGAACTTGTGCTCAGGGTCAGTAGCGACCTCCAGCGCCATCTCTTTGTGGCCCTGACCTTCCAAGAAGCGCGCAATCTTGTTGAGCTGGTCCGCAGAAATCGTGGGCAGAAGCTCCTGCGCAGTTTCCATCTCGTCGCGAAGGACTAGGGTCTGGTACTCGAGGACGGGCAGGGACAACGCGAAAGAGGTGACACCGACATCCTTGTCGGCCAGGTAGATCCTCGAATCGCGCTGAATATAGCCCAGGATGTACATAGACTGGTCGAAGTGAGACACAGTGTATGTCTGGTCACCCACAAGGTAATTCAATCGGTTGGTGCTGTTGGTGTATAGGAAGCAGTCGCCCACCCACTCTCCCGTTCGGACACTGTACTCGTGTCAGTTCCATCCTTTTTTCAGATAACAAAGCAGCATCAAATACCTTTCGTTGATATCAGTGATGACCTCGAAAGCCGACTCGACGCCGTCTTCGTCAGCCTGGCCGCTTTGGACACCCTCGACGTAGGCCTCGCGCGAGAACCGCAGGACGTAGAAAGTATCCTCGCAAGCTAGAGCCACCAGCTCGCCGCTGTCAGACCAGTACACCTAATCCGTGTTAGCTTCGTGAAACAATTAGCGCATCAAACAGTGAGCATACCTCTCTAGGCTCAACCTCGATCCGCCTGACAAGGCCTCCAGTCTGCCAGTCAAAGAACGAGATGCCACCCTGGCCCTTGACACCAAGAAGAACGCCACCAGTCAAGCCTTCGGCCTGGAAACCGACATCAAGACCGCCCGCCTTCTCGACAAAGTTCTTGTAGACCTTGACGCTGGTCGCCGACTCTCGAATGGCAAAGTCGTTGGTGTTCTCCTTGGACGCCCAAACGAAGTCCAGTGCAGATCCAAAAGCCTTGTTACGCCACGCTAGGGCTGTGTAGATGATGTACTCGCCGTCTCCGCAAACTGCGACAAATCGGCCATTCGGGTTGTGCACCAAGGTCGAGGGGTATACTTCGCAGGTACCAAGCTCTTTGACGGGCAAGGAGATGGGCTCGTTGTCCTTGATAGAAGCATCTATATCGGTTAGTAACAGTACTGCAAGGCCAGAAGCGCCGCAACATACCTCCTCCCTTGATAATGGCGGAAACCACCTCGTTGTGACGAGCCCAAACAAGCTTTCCTGATGCGTCCATGGACACAGCGGGTTCCTCGCGACCTAGCTTCACGACGACGGCACCGTCGTCGAAACCGACAGCGACGCCCTGCTTGCCCTTTTGGTAAGAGACACACCATGCGCGCTCCAGGCCGTAGTTCAAAGACTGCTCGAATCGGTAGGTGTTGGCGTGCCATATCCTGATGGTCCCATCTTCGGAGCCGGAGATGATGACTGGCAGCTCGGGGTGATAGCACGCGAATGAGACGTTATTCGTGTGACCCTCAAGAGTGGCAATCAGCGACTTGGTGGTGTAGTCCCAGACCTTGACAGTGCGGTCATCAGACGTCGTCAGAAGGTAGGGCTTGTCAGAGTGCGGGTAATAGTCAACGTGATTGACACCCTTGGCCTCGTGGGCCTCGAGGGTAAAGTTGGGTGTCGCAGAGCCGAGGCTCCAAATCTTGACGGTGCGGTCTAGGGAGGCCGAGGCGAAAGTGTTGGTGTCTTTGGGGTTGATGGCGAGGCCCATAACGTAGTGTCCATGGCCCTCGAAGACCTGTACGCACTTCCAGCCCTTTTCCCAGTCCCAAAGCTTGATCGACATGTCATCAGAGGCGGTCAGCACGAAAGGTTGTGTGGGGTGGATGGCGATGGCGCGAATGTAGTCCGGGTGAGCCTCGAACGAAGTGATCTTCTCCGATGTATTGTAGTTGTAGACACGGATCTGAAAGTCATCGGAACCGCACACGATCCAGTTCTTTCTTGCGACGAATCGACCGGCTCGGACGGGGACATCGGTGAGTTCGAATGTCTTCACGATCTGCTGCGTCTCGTACGACCAGATGTAGACGTGGCCGCTGTACAATGTGGTGAGGATCCATGGTTCTTGGGGGTGGAAGTCGATACCCTTCACCCGCTCGCTGCGGGCGAACAATTGTCGCTGAACGAATAGGTCAGCCTACTGAAGCTATTCAGAGGATTACAGACTGGCCGAAGCTGTAGAGCTGCAACTTGCAAGGCGCCTGGACAGCAGAGCTCCTATCTATGCGAAGGCATAAGAGATTTTGGTTCAATCGAGATGGTGCCTACCTTCACGTCGACCTTCATGGTGACCAGCTATACGTTATGCCAGCAAGGGAGAAAGTTGAAGAAAATGCGATGCTGTCCTCGAGAAGCGAAGTGGGGGGTGTTCTTGCGCTGAATGAGGACGTTCGGGAGAGGGAATCATGCGCTTCAGTCCTACTGATCGGAAGATTGAAGGAATATTAGAAAGGGCCGCTGGAAGCCGGTCGCAGAGGGAGAGTCGGGGGAGGGGGGGGCCTCAGGAGCGTGTGTCGTGAGGATTGATGGCTTCCAGAGCTGTTGGCAGTCGCAATTTTGGCCGAGTCGGTATTTCGAGCTTCAACAGATGTGTCCCTACCGCTCGAGGTTCAGGAGCTGATTGGTGCCTGAGTGATGTGGCTTTTGCCTTAGGCACAGACACTTTGAGCCACGTAGACTTGCCAGTTGCGCTTCCTTATCTTATCGTCCCAGCCACTTCCACTCTGCCAGCCACAGATCCACGATTGCTCTGTCTCTGCTTCATTTTCCTCCCGCCACGCCACGATGAGAATATTCCTTTCACGATGAGGGTAGTTATCAACTAAGGGCTGTACGAGGTGAAATGACAACCGGGGTGGTGGCCAATAGCCCGAAACTCAGCAGCTAAAGCAGTCTAATGGTATGGTATCAACGTTACTAACCGTCTATTTGACGATATTTGCTGCATGATTAACAATTTGATTCATTTACAATTTTGGTACTCCGTATTTGCGAACGCATTCCATTTCCTCATGCGTGTTAGTTGTGGAAGGAAACAAAGTTCTTAAGAGTTTTACTATTCACAAGCAAGCGGAAAAATCCATAGTTTAGCTCTCAAATATTGAAGACCTGATATTTCAAAAACTCGTAACAATACTGGTGTGAATATCAAGATACCGTGCGCATAATCAGCGCTGACCCAAAATCCCAAACACCACGCCTGCATCCCATGATATATGCCAAACTCCAAATAGGTCCAATGCTAGTCGTTACAATCATCATAGCTTCACGTGTAGTCATTCCTCGCTGTCGGCCTGGACCTTGCGGACGACCTCGACAAGCATAGGATGGATCTTCTCCGAGGGCTGGATGCCGCAAACCTTGGCGACAACATCCTCGGGACCGTTCTCAGACATCAGTTTGGAAAGCTCCTTGCTTTCGTCGTCGCCCTCGACATCCTGGAAACGGAATGCCATCTCAGCTGCGCGAAGTAGCGCGGAGCAGTCCTGACCCTTCTCAGCAAGCTCAACGGCAGGACCGATGAAGCGTTCCTTGCGGCTGAGTTTACGGAGCGGCGCACGTCCAACACGTTCGACAGCATCCTCCAAATGGGGGTTGCCAATGCGGCGGATAATCTTGGCAGCATACTCGCGTTGCGCATTCTCGTCGATGCCGTGCTTACTAATGATCAAGTTGCTGGTCTCCTCGAGTGCCTTGCGGACCTCAGCCATGATAGTCTTATCCTGAAGAGCATCGTAGACGGTGCGCTTGCTGCGGTTGTATCCGTGGTAGGCGGCAGTAGCGTGACCAGTGTTGACAGTGTACAGCTTACGCTCGATGAAGGGAGCGAGCTCATCGACCCAGTTGATACCCTCAATGCTAGGAACCTCTTCGAAGGGAGTGCGCTCGACAACCCACTCGTAAAACTTCTCGAGCGTCACGTCCAGGCCGGCATTGGGATCCTGTGCAGGAACAATGCGGTCAATGGCAGAGTTGGCGAAGCGAGCGCGCGTGTGGTAATCCTCCAGGCGGTGGGGAGCAGTGTTGCGCGGCTCCTTGATGTGTTCAGCAAGGGTGTCGGTTGCGCCAATGGCGTTTTCGCAGGCAATGACAGCAATGGGGGCCAGGTTGCTGGGTCGCTTGTCGATACCCTTGGCGATGACAGGGGCGATGAACTTCAGGATGTTCGGGCCGACGGAACACGTGACAACGTCAGCGGTGGCAATCTCCTCGATCAGGTCGGCCTCGTGAGTTCTTGAGTTGATGGCGCGGTAGTTTGTGATGGTGTTCTCGCTGGTGCCCTCGGCACCGACCTCAATAACCCGGTATAAGGGGGTCTCGTTAAGCTTGTTGATGAGAGCATCGGCAACGTCGGCAAAGACGACTTCGTAGCCGGAGTTGTGGAGGAAGCAGGCGACGAATCCACGGCCGATGTTACCGGCGCCGAAGTGGACGGCCTTCTTGGTTTGTTGTTGTGTCGACATGATGGGTATGTATATGTAGGATGTGAGTAGGTATAGGATGAGAAGATTGATAATTGAAAGCGAGAATGGTGTTGCAAAGTTAATCAGATTGCAATAATGTAGAAAATGATGTATTTGTGTGAAAGTGATGAAAAGAGTTAAACAAGAGGGACGGGGGAAAGGGTTTACTTATATTTTTGAGAGTGTCGCCTTCACGAGAAGGGCCACCACGATGTGATAAGAGTGCGACTGCCTCGAGGACGGCACCATAGGATAGGTAGCCTTGACGTGTGAAATGCTCATTTACAATGGGGCCGTCGGCTGGAATAGGAAAGCCAGGGCAGTGGAGGGGACCCATGCGATACGTCGTGTGTGATGATGAGGGTACGTATCTTGCCCCACAACCTCACTACGTCAAGATACGTACCCATTGAGCATTCTATTTCACACTGAACTCATCCAGTACTCCGTACAGGTACACTGTACTTCTGGCCGGGCATCACGCTGTGAGGTGTGTCAAGGACCGCCCTGAAGCCATGACATAACGTCGCATCCCCATACATACTAGACACTTCCCTCCCACGCCTCCTTTCCACCTTCGGCCATGCCATCATCCCCATTATTTCTAGGCATTACTGCGAATAGACAAGCGGCTTTGCTCGTAGGCCAATCCGTCGCCCGTCCGAAAGGCTCCGCTTCATTGAAACAGCATCGGCGCCATGGCCCCTTGAGCCAACGAGCATGGAGCATCTTGTCAGCGAGGTGTACAGCCCACTTATCTCCACAGAGGGGTAGGGGGGTACATCATGGAAAAAACCACTTGCGCGCAGGTCATACTGGACTTGGGGATGCAACTTGGGTGAAGGGAGGGGGTGCAGTTCCTCCGTTGTACTGGGTTGGGACGCAGATTGTGGATGAATGGGGAGGGCTATGGCACAAGGGGAACACCAAGGGGAACACCAAGGGGAAAGGTGCAAGACCACAATGGTCGGACGGCTTGTCAGATTTCATGGGGTACTACCTATGAGTCTATGACGGTTCTCTTTATCCATCAGTTCCTTTTGTCGATTTGAGTCACCATTCATTTTCTTGTCTGCGGCCAACCGCCGGTCGGTCAATAGATGTCGAGACATCATTACATACATACTACGTATTGGACATGGCTGCAACATGTGACAAGCCTATATTCAACGGGCCTACTGGAGCTGATTTGAATTATAAGAGGAGCGAACCTTGTTGATGCTCACTCATCAGGCAAAAATGGCCTCACTGCGCCAGAGGAAGTGAATGACCCTTCGGAGGGGCAGAGAGATGATAAGCCAAAATGGTCACCCGTGGACCATCACGAGCCTGGCATGTGCTAAAATCTGTGGACAGGTGTGTCTAGGCCTATAATGGTGTGTGCGTATGTATGGGTGCGTGTGTGTCCAAAAAAACGACACAGTGAGATACAGTGAGATCCTTTAGTGCCTCAATACCTCCCTGCCTTAGCATGAGAGTATCATCGCTCCGAAATAGATCAATCGAGACGTTGATGACTTCCCATCGTTGCCGTTGTTACCTGTCCACAGGATGCCGCCTTTGGCCAAAAGGCAATGCTATACGTTCATTCAATCCAGGTCCACCCCGCCAAGGTCCGCGGGGGATAGGTGCATAGGCTGAACGGAAATTTATGACTGCCATGGCAATAACATCCAGTCTGGAACCGCGGAATCTAAATATACATAGTACAACAAGCATAAGATATGTGGCGACCTCGGGTAGCCGCAGCGACTGTTGACCAGTAACTCTATAGCAAGTGCAATAATGAAATAACCGTCGAGTCGTTTGCATGTACTTTGCCAATGAGCCAGTGCAACAGGGAATGTTAGCATTGCTCCAAGGGGCTACCATGGTCAGCGAGAGGCATTTCTTTCCTTATCATGGGCTCTCCGACCACGAAGCATGGATCAGCAACCTGTTGCCGATAAAGTCGCACTATGAGTATGCCGGGGATTGGCGCCTCCGTGGCCTGTTCCTCAATATCGCAGCGCCGCCTCACGATACAGTAAATGGACTAACGGCCCGCCAAAGGGCCGAGGGAGCGGTGGGAGCGGTGGGACATTGACGAGGCACCGCGAGACATCTAGGTGTGTTATGAGCTGTACGCGCAGTCAGTACTCAATAGATGATGAGTCGCCTGGTGGGCACTTGAGTGATTGATTAAAGGGTCGGTCTGCGACTCGGCGCAAGCCACCCATCCATGCGATGCCACCTCCGACAATGAACCGCAAGCTCGTCAGAAAAGTTGATGAAGGCGGCATTCTATCGATCGTGAGACCTGAGTATGGATCCTTGGTCAAATCAGGGGACAGCATTCCATGGCCCCTCTTCGGTGGATTCGACGGCTTGCGCCTCCACTCCAGCCTCCCACTCTGTTCGGTCATGCTGTGCCTGTTCCCATGTCGTCGGAAGCTTAGCTAGGTTTAGCCACGAAACGGGACGGATTACCGTAAATCTCTCGTATATGGATTACGGCCGGCGGCTTTTTGTCGGGCATGTCTGCTCGTCTCGACGCCTGGCAGGGATACCACTCACAAACGCAGGGCTGTGATTTGTCGAGGCGTCGAGACGAGGCCACTGTTGTCGCCCTTGCCCAGTCAAGGTCTGTTGCTCGCTTTGTTGACGCTGGCGGTGACCGAAGGGGCCGATTGCAGCGGAGGTTCGGGGCGACGCTGACACTTGGCTGATGGAGGGGGCCCGAGGTTGGAGCACCATTCACCAGCCGCGAGCGCCGCACGGGTGATGGGAAAAAACAGACAAGTCGTATGTCACCGCGATTGACTGGACTCTGCACCCAGAGCGAGGAAACAACAGGGGGCGGGCCTTGCTGGCCGAATGTCGGAACGGGCTGCCTCTCGGAAGAGAAAGAAAAACCCCGCGGCCTCGATTGGTTGATTCGTCGACACAATGGTTGATTATGCAATGCAGAGCTAGACAGACACTTCATCGTTTGGATGGGTATGGGCAAACGGAAGGCGGAACGACGGGAGGAGGACACGACATCGACGGCTGGACTCCCACATTCTTTGTTCTCAGTTTGGGACCCTGTTTGCAGTCGAACGGCTGTAGCTCTCCCCTCCACCAACAAGCCAAAACAGGGCGCCGGCACGGCCGAGTGAGATTTCTCCCTTGTTCCCAAACCTGAACGTCGATTTGGTGAGATATTGGGAACGATTCCCTGACGGCTAGCTGTATCGCTCCTCTTACTAGTGTACCCTCTGTGTTTCCCCTTTCATCCTCTCTTTCTTCTCGCCACACGTAGCAAATGGATGCATCATCGATGGCTCAATCAAGAGCCACCGTGAGCTCATTTGCTGTGTCACCTCGCTGGGCCTGGTTACGCCAAAGCGGCCCTGTGGCGTGCGATGACAGTTCAGCTACACAGTATGTACGATGTGCACCATACTTTGTGAGGCAGGAGAAAACTGGGACAGAACACATGTGGAAGATGCTCGAACTTGTATTTCCCCACGTAATGTAGGTTAGACAGTACCTCCACTCAGACCGGCTCTATGTTTCTTGAGTGGGGAGAAATGGGTGGTGCTTACGTTTTGGACAGTAAGGCCACCCACACACAACCCCATTGTCCGTTTCTCCCCAATTCCATACATGGGCACCATGGGGCAACGGATGAACTTTAGGGGGAGGGCAAGACGGGCGACATTGGGTCCGTATGGAGCACCTTCCCACCAGAATGGAGGCACAAATCGACGAATAATCTACAAATGGGGAGGCAGTACCTCGAACGTCGCTTCCGTCGTAGTCTGCCGTCCTTTGTCCGTTTGTCCGCTCCTTCATCGTGCTCCCACCGGGCGGCCCCTCTTCAATGTAGCTGTCACATCACAGCCCACCTTTTGTTTGATACCTACGGATACTCCGTACTTGATAGGTATTTTCGCGTGGGCACCTACCTTCCGTACGTTGGACCGGTAAGCACGGTACGTAGCCATATTCCGTATCCCGGACCTCACCTTCCTTCTACAGTGCATCTAAACGGTGGGAGGGGGTTTGCTTCCTCTCTTTGGTGGGGTGGTTTTTCCGTCTTGCCCCAAGGGAAGCACGGTGCATCCGAAGCTTCCAGATGCGGTTGCCGTGACTGCCTCAAGTCTGCGGCGGCAGGTCTGGCCCGAATTCCCCCGCTTGTGTCCGTCGTCCATAAGGGGGGATACCCCAGAAGAGGCGGTTTCTTCTTCCGTCCAGCACCGGGCTGTGCATCGCCGCCGATTGACATTTCCCATCCATCACGGCATGTTTCAGCTACCGCCAGCATCTACACTATCTATTTGGCAGCGTCTCGACAACCACTCCTTGCCATGCCCTTGAGGTACGGTATCACCTAAGATCTGATACTATCTACCTAGGGATGGACGATGTACCTACCCGTTATCCGCCGGTCGGGCCCTCTCACTGTATCAAGTCTTTCCAACCGGGCATCCCCATCATCCGCCGCTGTGCATCTATCGAAGAATACACATGGTGTAGTGCCCCGAGCCAGCAACACATCACCACAACTGTCGACAGCAACCTCATCCTTGTCAAGGACGGCAATTACTCCGCTTAGGAGACTCGACTGCCGCAAATGAAAGATAATGTGGCTGCCGTTCATACCTTACATGCCTTGCTTCGTTCTCTTGCGATTGTTGTTGCGCTTGGGCTTGAGCTATTGGATGCGACATCGAAGCCCACACTGAAGCACGAATACATAACGGCAGCCATTACGCTATGACGGCTCTAATATACCATCGGGCTGGTGACAAACTTCAGATGAGGACATAGGAGCCTGGTAACCAAGGTGCACAGACAAAGGCGTATCGACGTACACCGGTCGGCCGCCATTACAACAGAAAGGCTGTTGCTGCTCTGTGTGCGAACGCCTGCGGTTAGCCAACAAACCAAACATAATACCAACCACCAGCCATCGATTCGCACCACCACGAGGGGGTCGGGAGTTAGAGGGTTGGATTCCAATCGCAAGGATC